CCCAATCCTTAGCAGTTATAAGGTCACTGGTATACTTGAATGCAAGTAGCTTAAATGTCTAAAAAATCTTCAAGTGTTGATCAATTTCTGTCCCAAGTTCAGATCAGGACCCTATAATAAGGCACAATCTTTCAATTGCAGCCATTTTGTCAACCACTTGTGATATCAACTGAATGATGCCCTACAACTAAGTGGCTCTAACTTTCTCATTTTCTATGTTATGATTATCATATATGTTCAAGATTTTTTTCAGCTTGTATTCCTTGCTCTGCAATTGGCCTAGAAAAATTACCCTCAATACTTCTTGGTTCTCCTTCAGGCATATTCATTTGAATTAACATAATTTATTATTCAAACGTAATTTATCATCTAATCATTATGTCGTGCATGCATGATACCTTAAGTTATATATGTCACCCACCACAGATGCAACAACCTATAACTACGTATAAATCAATTCATATTTGATCGCGTCCTTACTTCTAAATCCAATACGCTTCTATCATCCTTTTCACCACTAACAACTTGCGGTATCAACTAAATGATGCCCTGTATCTCAGTAACTCTAATTTTCTCATTTGCTCTGTTTCCGATTATCATATATGTTTAAGATATTTTCAGTTTTTGTTTTTTGCTCTGCAATTGGCCTAAGAGACTGTTCTTCAGTACTTTCTAATTCTCTTTCAAGCATATTCATCTGTATTGACGCAATTTATTATTCAAATGTAATTTAGCATATAATAATTTTCATGCATGCATAACACCTCAAGTCACACGAGTTACTCAACTTAGATACATCACTCTATAGCTCTAGATAAATCAAAGATACCTTAAGTCATATGGGTTACTCACCTCAGATGCATCAATCTATAGCTCTAGATAAATCAATTCATATTGTTCTCATTCTTATTTCAAAACCCAGCACGCTTCTATCATCCTTTTCATTCACTAACCATGCTCTGATACCACTTTTTGTCACCCCAACTGACCCGCCTTAAAAGTCAACTACGATGCAACAAAGGCATACGATTTGATCAGACTAAATTGCCATCAGCATTCGTCTTGACATATATTAGGTGATAAACTAGTTTAACTAAATCCCCACAAACATACTTGATATATTTTATTTCATAATTTATTCATATTTACACATATATATCCATACAGAGAAGTTAAATCTAACATAATAAAAATATGTGCCCAAAACTCTGTACAAGCTCTTAAAACTATCATGCAAAAATTGTACAAATCACACATGGCTACTCGCACGGTGTCTCTTGCTCTTCCTTAAAGCCAACAATGTAGAGTGAATAGCAATGCAGCAAAAAAATAAAAGCTATGAATAAGATTTTATAGACTGAAAAAAAATAACATGCATGCTCATATGTAACTCATGAGCATGTCCACAACACACATCACAATATACAATAATCACATAAAATGTATAAAAGAAAAGACATGTAATATAGAAAAACATGAAAGCTGTATAAAACATGAAAACATGATGAATGTGTAATCATAGACATATTCGTAAGAATCATCAATCTAATTATAGAAAAGTCACTTGTAATTATATGTCATAACGCATGTAATAATCATATAAAAGATGTAAAAGAAAAAACATATAATGTAGAAAAACATGAAAGTTGTATAAAATATGTAATCATCATGCATATCTAATCATAAGCATATTTATAAGATTTAACAATCTAATCATAGGAATGACACTTGTAATTATATATGCATAACTCTTTTCATATTATGCCATATCATTGAGTCGTCATCTAGCCCGAAGGCTACATCAACTATTGATAAAGGTTGAAACCCCCAACACATCAGTTATCAATAACTCCTGTCTTACCAAAAATATTCTACATTCAGTTATCATCTGATCTCAACGGTTCTGAGAGTTTCATCTCTGTCTGAATGCTAGAAGTCAAGAATCTCATCATTTCCTATTATTTAGAATTGTAAGTAATCATGTAGTAACCTACCTATAACATTACTTTTGACATTACTTAAATCATAATTCTTGTAATAAACATTCATCATAAGCATTTTATATATTATATCCATGAATCATAGTAAATGAGTACGAGCAAGCAATAATTTTATAAGCGTGTTCAACCTTTCTTTTTCTTTCTTTACATGTGCATGCTCCTTTGAATTTAATACACTGATATATGTGGTCCAACCATAATTTTGCTACTCAGGTTATAAATACTATTTGATCTTTATTGATGATTTCTCACATTTCTGCTGCCACTCACAAATGTAAATTCATTAAAATGATTCATATACAATTTAACACTTGTACTCGCATACTTCGATCTAATGGTGGGAGTGAATACAAGAGTTTTTGCCTTAAAAACTTTCATAAAACCAACAGTATACTCCATCAATTCTCATGTCCTTACACTCTTGCATGAAATAGGATTGCAAAGCGTAAACATTGGCATCTCATTAAAACCACACGAGCATTATTTCATGACACATCTCTTCCCCTTAAATTTTGGGTGGACACTGTACTTGTTGACGCTTACCTAATTAATTGAATGTCTTTCAAAAAATACAACATTAAAACCACCTTAAAAACTTTACAATCACCAACCTACATACTCCCATCTCAAAGTGTTTGGTTGTTAAAGTTATCCCTCGTTACACTCTCATATGCCACATAAGCTTGCACCTTGCTCCCAACCTTGCATATTTCTTGGGTACTCCTGCGATCATAAGGGCTTCAACAGCAATGAACACAGCACAGTCAAACATTTCATATCTCAACATTTAGTATTTTAGGAACATGTCTTCCCTTACAACTCTTGAACTCTATCGAATACATCTCCACCTCCACCACATCCCTCTTCAATCTCCAATCCCTTCTTGTACCTACATCTGCATCTCAAACACATTCACCCTCATTTGGCAATCAATCAAGGGCTCCTTGTACAAAATACACCATCTGCATCCACTAAAATCTCTTCCACTACTACATTGCCGCCTCCTATGCCAACTGCTCCAATACCACAATCCATAGACCAACATCAACCCCGTCTTATCATTAACCGAAGCAAAACCAGGAGGATCAAGTTGGTGCACAAACTTAACTTCCTACATCAACGAATATATCCTCCAGATCTCACTGCCTACACACATGCAACCAAGTGTGCTCATTGGAGGAAAGCCATGAATGAAGAATTCTTCACCCTTCAAGCCCAAGGTACTAGGGTATGCGTTCAGCCATCGACTGATTAACAGCTTCTCGAGTGTCATTGGACATATTGCACCAAATAAAATTTGGATGGGACGGTGGCACGATATAGAGCTCAACTGACTGCTCAAGAGTATAATCAAGAGTATGGAGTGAAGTACTACGAGACATTTAGCCCTATGACCAAGAAGACAACTCTCTGAGTGTTCTTCACCATTGCTTTCAATAAAAACCGACTCATAATAAAATTTAACGTTTCGAATGCATTTCTCCACAGCACATTGTCTGAAAATATGTATATGAAACAACCGGCGGGTTATGTCGACCCTCAGTTTCCTAAACATGTGTGTCCACTCAAAAAGGCATTGTATGGACTCAAAAAGACAATTAGGCAATAGTTTATAGTCATTTTTATTCACGAAGGTTTTCAAATCAATAAGACGGGCCCATCATTGCTCATCTCGCACAAATTCGAGTCAAAGTTCTTTATACTTCTCTATGTCGACAACATATTGATTACCAAAGAAAGTATGGTTGTCATTCAGTCCCTCACCACTCGTCTCATCTCATGGTTTCAAATCAAACAACTCGGTCATGTCTCTCGATTCTTAAGAATTGAAGTTACTCGCAATGATAGCTACTTAATTATGGATGGCAAAGCTATCTCACTTGGATTCTCCTACAAACCAATATACTGGGATGTAAAGCAGTCTCCACTCCTTTGCCAAGCAAGAGAGAGTACTCTCAACAACACGCAGCCTATGACAAATCCTACAAAATTATTACAGGAACTCTCCAACACATGATTGTCCTGCTACTTATCACTTCCAACTTCTAAAATGCGTATTAAGGTATTTCCATGGCACAATAGACTACGACATTAAAATTTCACATTGTAAATTGAGTCTACAAACTTACACATATGATAATTGGGTCGGAGATGCAAAAAACCGCCAGATTACTACTGGAGTTTGCACTTCCTTAGAGAATACTCCCATCTCCCGGGTAGTAAAGAAGCAACATATTGTTCATCGCTCATCCACAAAAGCGTGGTATAGAGAGCTCATTGCCACAACCTCTAATATAATGCGGCTAATGCGCCTCCTTGTTGAATTCAGTGCAGACCAATCACATCTAATGAAAATCTATTGTGACAACCGTCTATGGCCATTTCTACTAATTCGGTGTTCCATATCCACACTAACCATACCGAGATCGACTGTCACTTTATTAGGGGTCAGATTCAATTTGGTCTACTTCAAATCCACTACATTAATAGGCAGGACCAGCCTGCTGATATCTTCACAGAACCTTTGGCGAAACAATAATTCAAATTTCTCCCATCCTAGCTTCAGGCCTACTCCAAGAACCATCAGCTTGAAGGTGCTTACCATGTTAACCCTACAAATGTTTGTGAGAAGGATATCAATATCTTAAATATGGCCGCAAATTAGTTGGGGATGAGATATCTTTAAAGCATCACAGAGCAAGCAGAAAAATATGTTGATTTCAAATCTCTCTACTAAGTCCATTTGTTGAGGTAATTGTGTTAATAAAGCACGATGCAGCTACAACCATGACAAAGTAATGATGAAGACAGAAGCATCTATGAATAGATGTGGATGGACTTGTAACTGATAAGATTGGCATAAGAATTCTGAAGTAAACAGTATTAGGAAATGGGAACTAGTTCCATTAAAAAAATAAAGAAGAAAACACCCAGCATTCTCAAAAAAAAAACTAAGAAAAAAAACACTACCATTTCAGTGTTGTTGCCCCACTAGCATACCTGTGTCACTTATTTTTCTAATTGCCATATTCATAGTATCTGCAACATATATATTTCCCCTATCGTCGACAGTTAAACTCTTCGGGTGATTCAACCTTGCTTCTCGTGGCTTTCCATCAACATGACCAGGATAACCTTCTGCCGAACCAGCAACAAGTTTGGGCCTACTGTCTGCAAAAAAAACAGCAACAGTAATCAGGAAATATGAGTAGTTATAATGAATACAATTAGGAAAGATGAAGCAATTTTTCAGATGTTCTTTGGCTCCCAAGTAAGAAAAATGGGGATATAGCACAAGACAACAGCAGCTACTGTTCAAGAATAAAAAAACTATCAAAATGGGAACTCAAATGCTGATGACATGAATAAACATTGTTCAAGGCTTTGTAGGCCTGTTCGAATAGTAAAATTTACATACCTAGCACACAATTCTTATGTATTTACGTATCTACCACCAAAACTTTCGCATTAATGTACCTAGCACACAACTTTTATGTATTTACAATCTCACAAAACTTTTGTGTGTACAAAATAGCACTTCAGTGTTTTAAACCTATACATGAAAAGTTGTACTTCACATTTAAAAAACCGATGATAGTATTATTTTTATTGTGATATTAAAGAATTCAAAGCTAAGACCGTAAATATGAAAGTTTAGGTGTGAGATATGTAAATACATGAGAATTGCCTGTTATGTTGGTAAATGCCTCAATGTAAAAATGATCCATAAAATTTCTAAAATACTAGCAATCCATTTTCTATTTTTAATCAATACAATTGTACGTATTTTTATTCCATAAACACATCACAAGAGTCTTTACCTTTTTTTTCGAAATGGTACAGCAACAGCATTTAGCAACAAAATATAGTTATTCCAGTCAACCACTGATTGGGAAGTCTAGAAAAATACAACATAAATTGAGATGTTAAATACAAAAGACTTGTTCTTTTTCTAAGCAAACAAGTAAAGGATGAGCCCAGGAAGTTAGCACTTATTCTGTTAACCTCTTTTAGAGATGGCAGACCCCAAATACATTTGTAATTTCTCAGTTTCAGTATCATTTAACACTTACCCAATCTGAAACAGTCGCGGACAAATTGATAAAATGGAATGGAATGACAGCACAAATGAACATATAGTTTAGCCCTTCTTAATCAGTGACAAAGCCAATTTAGTGTAAGAAGTGCCTGGTCTTCATTGGTGTATGTCATAATGACTTTGTTGTATAGATAATGAAGGAAGAGTAGCACAAGGATGAGATAATGCACCAAGGATAAATGTAGGTGCTGTAAAGCACTTGGAATACCACAGTATGGTCAAAAAAGTATAAATTAATAAAGTAGAAGCCATTAAAATCATCAATATTAGATGGTTGTATGTTTCATCAAGTTTCCCCAAGAGAAATTTGGACTCCTAATGAAAATTTCTACAACAGAAAATATTAACGAACAGAATAATGCACTGATTTACAAATTGCAAAGATTCTGAAAATGTGTTAGAGAACATGAAATGAATATGTTTAATACAACAACAGGAAGTTAAAAGTTGTGGTGTTGATAGGCTAATAGTTAGGAATGAATATGCGGACAAAATTGTCCCCAAGTGATCCAAATAAAACCAAGCGCCTCAAATATTAAACAATTCAGAAGAAATCAAATTACATACTGGTAAGAGAAACAATAATTGCCTTGAGAATTCTAATTGCTTCTGGGAATCCCTAAAGAATGCAACATATTTAAATAGAGCACAATTACTACCGATTAGATAATCCAAACAAGAAGACAAACACCATTATTTTCTATCACAATACAGCGTACTTCTGCAGAAACATAACGAAAGGTAGATCTAACTATTTACAGTATCACACCGCAAAAAGCCAACCAAAAACACAACTCAGCCCCACTAACTAAATGGCAATAAACTATTGAAGTGCCTAAAAACATTCTCCTCCTCGCAGAAAATCATTACGAAACTACAAAACATGCGTAAGAGCCAAAAGGTAAAAAGGTGATAAGAGCAGGAATCTCGCGCATAACCCACCAAACCTTCGGGTAAAAAGAGAAAGATCTAACAAAAGAGCGAGGCTGAAAAAGATGGACTCACATCTGGACAGCGGCAGAGATATCCTGAAAATATTGCTGTTAACAGAGTCCAGAACCAAGAGCTCGCCGCCCTTGAAGACTTCAATTGAAAATGGCTCAATTCCAAGCTTGCTACCGTCGAACACCGTCTCCACAGTGTACCCACTCTCAAATTTCATCAATGGGCGGCCGGAGATCACTAGAAACAACTAATACAATCAAACACCATCACTAAAATCCCAAACATCAAAGAACACCAACGGCAGAGCTATACCAGTCTTTGGAGCAGAAGTGATTGTCCACAATCGTTTCAAGATTGCTGAGGCGGCATTGGAAAACAATCCACCCACTAACTCTGCAAGAAGGAGGCATATTAGGTGTGAAGGAAATAAAAACGGCAGTGAGACAAACAAACCCACTTGCAGGAAATGCGGCTGAAACAGAGCAAACCCCACTGAGCACAAGCACCAGAAAAAGGATTGAAGCAAATCCCTGCTTCTTTTCCGCCATTAATGCCAAATCTCCACAAGAGCGAAAGAGGGGGGAGGAACAGATAAAGGACGCTCCGAGCCCGAGAGAAGCAGAGAAGTGGGAATGCGAGAAGGGAAATTGATGTCAGATGATGGGAAAGAATGGAAAACTCATCAAGCTCTCAACCTTTTTCCCCTGTTCTACTGTTGCTGTTGGAAGCATGGGCGTGAAAAAGAAGAAAAGAAGACGAGAAGCCCGATCTTTGTTCTCTCTGGGTGCAGGAATTAAGGAAATGAAATTGTTACGAAGGACCATAATGTAATTTTACTTAAGAAAGGACATTTACATATGTGCCACCAAATTCTTAAATATTTACACTTGGAACATCTAAACCTCTGTATTTCTATGGCCCAAATCATTCATATCACATAATGTTATTACTATTTTAACATTTTAATAAATGAAATCAAATATCTTACACCTAGCATGAATCTTAAAATATTGCATGGGTCTCGATGCATAGTTTTTAACAAGAAATATTAAAATTTCGATCGAAAGTCATCTGAAAGTTCGATTTCAGCAAACATACAGTCAAATTGATTGATTTGATGAGACAGACTCATTGATACCAAAATTGATCTAATTTGAGTCAAATCAAGCCCAGATTAAGACGTTAAATCATATTTGAAATTTTTTCAGACACATTTGAAATGTCAAATGGATGTTGAATTTGTCGCGTTCATAGTCTATCGAGCGTTTTGACAAGAAGAATCCAATGCCCCAAGATTGCTTAATTCTGACATCGTTAAAGCTCTCAAATGTTCATTAAACACTGTCTGATCTAGAGAACTTCTCCGAGCTATCCAATCAAAGTGGTTCAAATTCTCTCATTAATTGTAATTGAGATTTTACAAATAAAGCCCTACCCCTCTTATGAGAGAGAGAAGAAGAGAAAGAGCTTGAAGTTAAAAAAAAAAAAACTATAATCTAGTATATCTGTTGTCACCTTCGAGTACTACCGACCACCGTCGACCACCACTTGCCAGCATCACCATCACCATCGATCGACGTCTATTTCTTGTGATAATTTCATCCGCGAGTTGACATTATAACCCGAAAGACTTTATAACACTTTCCAACCTATGAGATAAACTTATAATCTTTAGTTTATAGTTGATGTTTTCAATTAAGTGAAGTTACGTAATTTTTTTTTCTTATATGAGTTTTCCACATAAAAACTTCTCAAGTCATTACATATTGTTTTCTTTCTTCTTTCTTCTGAGTGTGTGTTGAATTTTTGTGCAGTGCTAACACGATAATTTATTATTCTACCGCCGCGATTAAGGATTATAAACACATAATAATTGTATGCCACAACAATAAGTCTCAAAATATTGATGTTAAGGATTATAAACACATAATAATTGTATGATATGCATGTAAATATTTTTTGTATACATAGGTCTGTCTGCATGTGTATAATTTTGCTGCAAATATAAAAAAAGAATTTTAAGTATTTCTTATATGTTTTAAAATATTTGGCTCACAATTATTATTAGGGTGTAAATGAATGCTAATCTTAACTAAATATAAATTTAAATATGCTCCAACTTTAAACTGCCATTTAAACTTTAGATAATTCTCGTACGTTATCTATGAATTGCACAAGTTTCAAGATTGCATTTTTTATTTTTTTTATTTTAAAGAGAAGAAGGTGAAGCTTGAATGTGACATTCAAGGTTTGGGAAATTTAGATGTACCGCACGCCTCTTTTGTATTTATATATGAAATACCCAATATTTGATATTTACATTTATATTACTTTTGCATCATAAACCCATTTATTAAAAATATGTACTTCACTTTTAAGAAGATAGAGATGAAGATATTTTTATGTGATGTTAAAGATTTAAGTGAAATTTGTAAGTCTGAACTCTCGCTCATCGATACATTATCTACTTTGGTCTATTGGAATCACAATTTTGTCCTATTGATGTAAGTTCCCAGGAGGTCAGTCATCCAGAGAGTTCTCTCGTATAAGCATACTTAACATTTGAGTTTCTATCAAAATTCTAATCGTGACACCAAAAGACGTCTCAATGTTCAAATATTCAATTTCATTCTACTTGAGAGGGTTTTACAATCTCTCTCTATTCAAGTAATTGATATCCTCATCAGTTTGCATAACCCATAATCATTAAACAGACATATAGAATTCTAGAGGTAGTTCCATTGTGAGATTTACTTCCTATCTTTAGGCATGTGTAATGTTCTAATACTATTTGTTTGTAGCAGTCCAAACTCTTACTCATCGAGATATTATTCGCTTAGTCTAATGGTTGACCCAATGGTCTAACTTCTGAAGTAGTCACACATTCCAAGAGTACTCCCATGCAAGCGTGGTTAATTTTGGAATTTATATCTAAACTCCAACTATTACACCAAAAGATACCACAATACTTGAAAGTTTTAACTTCTTCCTACTTAAGGGGTTTCACGCTATGTATGTAAATATGAATGTTTAGGTATTAGATAAGTAAATAAATGAGGTTATTTATATTTTTTTCTTTTCCCCGCTGCTTTTGTTATTATCTTTTTGTTTTGGTCTTCTTTGAATATATTCCCCCACTTCCTTCTCTTTATCTTGCCTTTCTTACCTTTTCACTACTGCATGTGCCTTTTGTTTTGTTGTGGGCATTGGAAGGGGATCTTTGCCTCCACTGCCTTTAGTTCTTGTCCTCCATTATGTCTTCTTCTCTTTCTGTAGATTATATCAGCTGTGGTATTCTATGCTGATTTGATTGATCTAATCAGCTTTAATTTGAATGACTAGAGAATATATTTTGAATGGCATGGGCTGTGCTCCATTAACTTCTTATTTAGAATTTATTTGATTGTTTGAAGTTAGAAATCATGCTTTGAAAAGTAATGAAATTTATTGATTTGATCATTTAATTGAATATAAATAGGTTTTGATGTTGTCATGAAACTTCATCAATTTTCTCAAAATTTTATAAAAAATAGTGAATTGATTTACACACATAGAATAAGAAATGAACATATGATTATTTTCTATAATATTTATTTTTTATTTATAAGAAATTAAATGAGCTTTTAATAACTTAGAAGGAACATGTTGATTATAAGACAGTGATTATGGTTCTAAAAAAATTAAGAAAATCACCATTTTGATCCTATTGAGAATTGAATATCTCTTGACTTCAAATGTTATATCAAAATAATTGATTATTTTTCGTGTTATAAAATTGATAATATGCGTAATATTAATAAATATTGAGATGTTTCGCTTTATAGCATATCAAAATTCTCTCAATCTTATGTCTCGGTAAGTATGCAATTATGTCTAAAACTCTCAACCATTTTGTCACGAGCAAATAAATCAAAAACAAAAACAATAACATGCAGTTTCGAATCACCTATATTATTCTTTGGACTCAACTTCCCCTAACAAAACATAGACATTAATTTTTATAAGATTCTGCCCTTCAGACAGCCTGCATAGTGCATGAAATGCAGCATAAATGCTTGCAAACTATACCATCCCATCTCTAATTCCATTAACTGCTTATTAACAAAACAATACATGGAATCTCAATCTAGTCATCACCATAGAGACTTAGAAATTGAGTTCAAACCATATATGTCATTCCGACGCGAATAATATGCATATGAGGGACACTCATATTTGCAGCACCAGCTCTGCAATTCCTTCTCAGGAATGAATAGAAGTAGTTTATCACAAGCTTCTTTGTGAACCAAGAATCCTTTCTTGCTCTCACATCACCCTGAGCAAGCAGATAAGTGAATCCCGATTCTCTCCCTTCTCTTAGTGCTGAAAGTTCATAATCCAAACTCGGATCTTCAGCCGCCGGCGACGAAGTCGACGGAATCAACGAACCATCTTCCACCCCGGCAGTCTTGGCACCACCCATCCTCTTACCAGAAAGTAATGGGACGCGAAGCTCAGGAACATCAGGTGACAGTGAGCCATTGTCAGCATCGGTTTCTTCTGGGCTCATCTCCAATGCAAGTTCTTTAGCTTCCTTTCTCAAAAACTTCTCCAGGCTCTCGATTAATAGCTGCTCGAACGTGTGGTGGTCTTCTTTCCTAACATCTTTGTATCCGTAGCGCGCGACGCATCGAAACATGTGGAATTCCTTGCGGCAAATTCTTCGAAAAAGGAACCGTTCGGTTAGAGGAACGATGGGAACGGGTACATACTTTATGCAAACGAATACGATGACTGAGTGGACGGCTGGGAGGGCAACAAGAAGCTGGCCAAAGATTGAGGGGATGCCCTGTACCAGCTCATTGTACACAAGTCCAATGCCCGGAACCCTGACGGTTCCGAGCGAGGACCCGAGCTCGGTTATGAAATCCATGGAGATTTTTTCTCGCATCTCACTGCGGTACTTGAGCACACTTCCATAGTTCCAGACGTACATGACGAAGAGGAAGCAAGAAGCGAATGCGAGTGGAAGCCACCCACCTTCCAGTACCTTGCTAAGAACTGCAGATAAGTAGATGAGCTCTATCGTCCCAAATATGGCCGGAAAACTCAGGGCGAGAAATAGGTTGGTTTGCCATATGAGGAGCATTACGAGTGTCACCAATGTAGTGCTCACCAACATCACTAAAACCTCAGCTATGCCTGCAGCATGAGGCTGAACAAGTTAGCATTGGGATCTCTTTTACAAAAGAACAGGGGGGCATTTTTTACATACCAAGGCCATCATTTCTCAAAAAGTGTCATCTTTATCCAAAGAAATAAAGGAAAATTTGCATGCACATCATTCAATTCTTATATATTTACATATCTAACACCTAAAATTAAATTTTTACATACATGTCACCTTAACTATGCATGACAAGGTGCCTTTCACTATTTAAAAGTAAAAATGATGGTATTTTTGATGTGTTATGAAAGATTTGGGGGGTATAAATGTAAAAAAGTAAAGGTGTTAGGTATGTAAATGCATAAGAATTTTGTGATATGTATGTAAATGCCCGAAAAATAAAAAAAAAAATTAAGAATTTAAAAATTGTCCAAAAAGAGAACCACCCAATTCATATGTATTTACATATCACCTAAATTTTATTTTTTACATTTATACAACTCAAATCTTCAGTATCACTTCAAAAATACAATTTTTCATGCATGGGTGAGATGTTATGTCCTTGGTTTTTGACAATTTTTATGCGGGCTATAGATAACCTACCGCAAACCTCTACTTTTCGCATTTGAGACTTCGACTGAGCAATGACAGTTTTACAAGTGGCATGTTATGTATCTAAAAGTTAAAAGTTTAATTGTAAACATGTAAATACATAGGAATTTGAGTGGCATTTATGTAAATATTCCAAATATATATAAAAAAAAAAAACAGAGCTGCAGTATGCTTCATGTGTGGTAACCTATTTTCTCCACTCTTTATTATATTTCTCAGGAAAGAAGTGGAAATTAAAATATCAGAAAACAACCATTCAGAATTCATTTGAATGAGAAAAAGCTGAGAAACAGTTGCTACATTCAAATATCTGTAAAAGGATTCTGAAGTGCTTACCATATGCATTAGCAATGCCAGTTGTGCGCCTGAAAGTGGCAACAATAATTATGCACATAACCATCAAGAACCAGTTCATAACGGGAATATATATCTGGCCCATGAATCTCTTAGAGGTGTGGATAATCTTCATTCGAGGGAAGCAACCAAGAGCCATGGACTGCTTAATGCAGGAAAACGTTGCGGATATCATGGCCTGACTTGCAATCATAGCAGCAAAAGTAGCGATGACGAATATTGGCCAAAAAAAAGCCTCTGCTCACCAAATCCACAAATGGAGCAAATTAAGAGTTAAGTCAGGCACAGCTTAGCAAATTACTGCTAAAAATTTACAGGATGGCCAAGGTTGACACAAGATTATTGAAAGCTAATGGAGGGAAACAGTGGAAGATGACTCACTTGGAACAGAATCATAGAAAACTCTTTCAACTGAATCTGGATGTTTCATCAGAAAGGCGGCTTGGCCAAAATATGCCAAGAAAAGGCAGGGAAGAACTACAAAAGTGAAGGCAATCTGCAAATGAAGCATTTATGATGCTATTGGAATCCATATTTTTTGAAGTTCGATCAATGAAGATTATCGAATAAAGAAAAAACAGAATTAGATCAACAAATGATGTTGACCTGTATGGATTTTACAGAGAAATGGCCAAGATCTGCAAACATTGCTTCAGCTCCTACAGTTATGAGTGGAAAATCAAATTAGATAATATTTATAGAGAGATCCAAGAGCTTCAACAAGAACATTGATGATACAAGTCAGCCTGTTAAACTTGCAAAAAACATTTCAAGCAACAGTTCTCTGAATGTTCATAACTTCAAGTATGGAGCATTGCACATAAGTCCTAAGGGGAAAAAAAATCATCTATTCAAAAAAAAAAAAGGATGTTAAACTGGGATTTTCTCCTAGTTAAGGAATTCTAGTCAAGACCAGTAGTCAGCGGAGGTCCAAAGAAGATCCTCTTGTCCAAGATTAAATGGTATTTATAAAATATACTCCACGTTTTCCCCTTTCAATTATAACAATGCCCAATAGAGTTTGCAGAGAAACCTCCTTACATTTAAAACTACACATCACGATAATAAAGCCCTAAAAATCTCTTCAGCGGAAGAGATTTTGGCTGATGAATTCTATCAAGGATTTTTTAATGAATCATTACATCATTTAATCTCTTGTTTCATCTTTAAACTTTGTGGGCTATGATTGGGGATAATTCTACCTTTCTAGGTGTTGCGAGTTGGTACATTCATGGTGGTAAAGTGCTATATTGATGTCCATACAGTTAAAAGAAACAACTGTCAGGGAGAATAACACAAGTTTTTTGGTGAAAAATCTAAAACAGAAAAAATCATCGGACCTAGTGTAGTTGAAATGATTAATTACAAGAATTTAGTGGCCCTTGAATAGCCAAAAATAATATTACACAAGTGGGGGTTATCTATCTAACTTCTGGTAGATGAGTGGCGGAATTCATTGGAGATAATGACGACTTGGTTGTTGAAAGAAAAACGACAGTAAAGGTCGTGTGCCAGAAAATTTGAGGTCATCGTCATTGATAACAATAGCTCGATGGAGGTGGTCTGTTGCGGCGACGGTAGTGGCTGGTTAGCGGTGGTACGGTGGTTACAGCGGCCCAACGGAGATAGTTCAACATTGTTGGCAACTTGACAATGATGGTCCGATGATGGTGGTGGTCCGACAGCAGTGGTCCGACGACGATGACTAAATGACGTTGGTCCGACGAAGTTGGTGGTCGAGCAGCTGTGGTCCGAAGACGAAGACGACCAGATGGTGGTGGTCCGACAACAACGTCCAGATGGTGGTGATCCGACAACAACAACGACCAGGTGGTGGTGTTTCGGCGGTAGCGACGGTGGTGGCCAGACAATGGTAGTTTGACAGTGGTGGTGGCCAAACGACATTGGTACAACGGTGTCAGCGACCCGACAACAGTGGTCCAATGGCAAGGGCTGCCAAACGATAGTGGTCTAGCAGCATCAAAGGTAGTAGTTAGGCGGCAGCGGCCGTGGAGGCAGGCATGTGGTGGTCCGACGACGGTAGAGGCTAGATGTTGTTGGTCTGGCGATGGTCACCAGGAAACAATCGTCTGGAGATGGCGATAGCTTAACGGTGGTGTTCGGAGGTGGCAGAGCTCAAGAACTCTCAAGAGCTTGTAGCTCTGTCAACTTTCTCTTACAGGTTCAGGTGATTATTTAGGTGCATTAATGATTTCAGAATTAAGTGATATTGAACTCGTTAAATTTACCTTGTTGAGACTCTCGATTTGACTGTAAAATTTTGGAGATCATTTGATCCCTCAAAATATATCTTAAAACATCTTATGATGTTTTAAGTGCATGATCTGGGCTCATCTAGACTCAAATCAAATCATGTTCGATGTCAACTGGCTCGTCTTATCAAGACCATTTGAATTAGAGTGTAGGTAATTCCATATTAAATTTTTGAAGCTATCTAAACGTATGTCAAGATTTATGCCTGACTGATATAATTTTTTGAGGATACGTCACTAGGCGACATTTCATCATGCATGTGATTCATGTCTTCGGTCACCTTAAAAATCAACTTAAGAGAGTTTCATGTCGCTATTTATACCTTTGTATTGTTAAACTCTTCAGCATTCTAGTTCTAGTTTTTCTCTTAAGTTAGAATGAACTTCGTAGGGCTGAGTGGGGAGATTACTTGGCTTAACTACTTTGAGATTTAGGCTTTGTTTGGCGTAGCTGCAAGGCTGCGGCGCGATGCCGTGCCACTAAAAATTGATGTTTAGGGCGGAGGTGCGCCTGTAAAGGGCCGTGATATACCCCGAACGCCAAACACAATGAGAAACCCGTGTCCTGGCTTCCTCTCTCGGCTTTTTCCCCGATTAACATATGTGATTCTCATTTCTTCTTCTCCAGTGAAAGAACACAAACCGCGATCTGCTCCCCTCGCCTCCTCTTCTCCAGCGCATCTCACACAACCAAGCCATTAACGAGTATTCTTTTCATCGTCTTGCTTCCTTTCGAAACCAGCTTCCTTTTGTCCCCCTCCCGCTCTCACGCGAAACGTTGGAAGAAAAAGAAAGCCGTAGAATTTTCTGACATCCTGCAGATGGAGGAAGAGAATTTTCTTGGAGAAGAGGAGCTTTGGCACCAAGATGAATAGCTTTGTTGTGCAGTCTTAGGTTTCTGGAATCAAGAATGAGAAGATTGAAGCAAGCTTCATGTCTTAATAAGTTCTTACTTTTGAGCGACTTAGTAAAAAATGTGCTACTTCATCTTGAGACTTTACACTCCACTTGCACCTCTTTTCTTGTGATAGATTCCTTGATGCAGTGATAATGCAAATTAGTGTATTTGCTTCTATCATGAAAATTTGGATATTTGACAAGCACCATTGTAAACTTGTTATCAATTCGAGTCGTGTTTTTTTTTTGTTAGTGTTATCTACAATTGCTTTGATTTGTTAGCGTCAACCCCACACTGATTTTATATTTTCTGCTTGCATTACCTTTCTCTGTTTTATTACATTCTGTCGTTCATATTATCTAGATTAACTGGACATGGATTTTCCTTGTCTAGGTCGAGTATGTTTAGCAACTTCAACATAAGCACAAACACTAAGCAGCATATCCAATGAAATGAAGTTATTTTCCATCCTCATTTTAGTATTTCCACCACAGTGGGCTTAACTAGGATGAGAAATAAAAGTCAATAACCAACAAATGGTCAAAGATATATTATATGTAATGATGTCAATCTTATATAAATGAATTGTGATGCATATAAGTCCCATGTGCCCTTTAAAAATGATGAGAAAAAAACTAATTAGTTCTACAACTTTGTTTTAAACATGGGCAGAATGATCATAGTTATGTTTTAAACAGTTTTACTAAACAGGGGCAAAATTATTAATTTTCCAGAAACAGCTGCCCCACAGCTGTTTTCACATAGCTGCAACAAACAGACACTCAGCTTCCCGCAACAGCTTCTCTGCAGCAGCTTCTTGGAGCAACGCAACTGCAATTAAAAAGATGAGAAGCTGCAGCTGCCCCAAACAGACCCTTGGAATCCGAGCATCCACCAAACTAACAAAGCTAACACTGGATCACTACATATTCTTTCTCCCTATTGAAGTTTAGTTTACAATAGAAGCAGAAAATTCAGAGCCCCTAGTCAACTCCATATTGAAATACTCAATTATCTTTTCCAATAGCTCTGATGTTGTCTTAAAAATGTTCTTAGAAACTAAAAATCTAAATCAGTAGTCTTTTAAACCTTTAATAATGTGAGTAAGATACATCTGACAATCACATTAAAACATATAATTCAGAGGGGTTACAACGACAGTCCATCTAAAACAAATAAGTTTATAGCTATATTTGCCCAAATTTTAGGAGCTAGGGAGATAAATAAGCTAATTATAAAAATTTCCCCTAAGGATGCTTGCGTGGTGAAGCTTGAACCACCAAATCACTTACTGCATTGAAAAGCAAGGCCATCAAGGCCTCAAATCGAATGAGACGTTTAATTGCATCAATCAAACACTTCAAAAAATCTACCTAAATAACTGGAGCACTTAGGGATCTCATTAGAGGTATAATGATGGCGTAGGATTGAGGCCCTTTGATGGGGATGATCTCCTTTAAAGCTTCAACTCGAGCCATTATCCCTTCTTGCAACCATAGGGCAACCCCATTGGCAATCGCTTTCCATGTTCCTCGTGTACCCTTGCAATGATAGTTCTTTGATCTCCCATCAGAAGTTTGAATAAGTAGCTTGTTTTTTTTCCCCTTCAATGCATGGAATTGCACCCAGAACACCTCCTTCATTGATGTTGAATCCTCTTCAACAAACGAAATCGAAACATTGTTTCATGCTAAATAAAAGCTCTTTAGGTCCTCATGAACTTCTAGTCCTCTTTTCATTGTTCGTTCCATTGATCTCAATGATAGCACCATAAAGAGATGTTTAATCCGAAATTTGGGACACTAAAAGGTTAGTAGAGTAAGAATGGCACGACGAGTAATTCAGGAAGAGAGAATGACAAATACAAATGAGGGGAAAAAATAGAGAATAAGAGAGTTTGAACAATTGATAAAAAAAAGTGGACCGAGATGTGCAGAAGAACCTCATGCAATATAATAGATGAAATTTATTATTAATGACTTTACCGGGGTTTTTCCTTCATATGGGCACATAAATTAATTATTTTGTCAAGGGTGGAGGGTGGCACAAATTAAATTTTACAAGCATTTATAAAGTAATCTCTAGGTTTGTTATCTTCATGGAGGAGAACAATCCCCTAGGGGGATTCCCAAAGAACCCACACCACATTTAACATTACATGTATTAGATGTAAACTTGCATAAATTGATTTCCGAAGTAAGGCTTGAACAGAAGTGCACAAAACAAGAAAATCATAGAAAACATAATTGGAAAAAACTATAGGGCCAAACCATACCAAGATATCCACTATGAAAAAAATGAGAAGAATTCCACACTTTGGAATACTCCACGACACTCCAAATCCTTTCCTTAGCACAAGAGAATTTGAAATCCAATACATTCCTATCAACAAAACTAAATCCTTAAGTGAAAAACTACTTGAAGTCGATTGTTGGCTCCAGGGCGCCGCAGCATTACAAAGGTGAATTAGTGCGCTTCATTCAAGCGT